GCCATCCCCCCTGGGGGTTGTTTGCTCGCTTTCTGTCTCTATGTCTCTCTCTGTCTTTCTGGAAAGCACACATGCCCTACAGCAAAAACCTCTGCAAAAAAAAAAAAAAAAAAAAAAAAAAAAAAACCAGGTTCTGGGAAATGTACACTGAGAAAACCAGCTAGTTCTGGGTTTCAACTTGAGAAGTGAGATTGCTTCAGGTTATCACCTGACCTACCTGAGATAATTGCATAAGGTCACTGACAACCTGAGGTGGACTGGCACTAAAAGTCTCACAATGTGGGCAATGGTTATTAATGAGATCAAATGTTCTCTCCATCCCAAATTTGAATGGAAAATGCTAAGGAAATTGGTAAAGAGGTAAAGGAAAGAGAGAAAAGAAATCCATAAAGAGAAGCAAGCAATGAGAGAGTGACATGGTCTCGATGAAACTGTGATCAGTGATACAGCAAAAAGACAGCTCTGACCCTGGAGCCAACTTGTTGTAGTCTGAATCAAGACTATTCTTAGCTTCTATTGTGATTTCTATCTCTTCCCACCCATCAACTCACAAGTGACTTAATCAATCATTGGGCATGTTTTCCCTGAGCCAAATTTACTTGACTAAGTTGATATAACCTTCCATTCTTATAGAAAGAGCTCAAAGCCATTACAAGTGAAATAACCTCCCTACCAGTCTTCCTGCATTTATTTTGTCTACTTCTATAAACCATTACTCACACTGAAGCTAGAGTGATCTTTCCAAAATATAAATTTAACTTCATTAACCTCCTTGCTTAAAACCCACAAATGGTTTCCTCTTCTTTTGTATAGAATACAATGTCCTACTGTGCCCTCAAGTCCCTGCATGGCCTAGCCCGAGTGCCTCTTCTCTAGCCTCAGCTGGAGCAACACTCAACCTCAATCTTTTTGGTCCAATGATACCACCCTTTTTTCTGTCCCTTCTGATCACCACACTCCCCTGTGCCAGGGCTAAGCACAGGCTTTTGCTTCTGCCTGCAATATGAATCTCTTGCCCTTTCCCCTCATCAACTCCTTCTCAATATCGCATTCTCTGAGGGTGTTTTTTTTACCTCTCCCACTGATGTAAATCTCAAGGGATCTACCATGCGTAGATCTTACTTTTTGTGAACCTTTGTAGTGCATTCTTCCACTTGGTTAGTATCAGTCATTCCCACTACACTCCCTTAGATCAGGGTCTGTCTCTGATTTTGCCCACTGTTGAGGCTTCAACACCACCTTGTCCATAGAAGACACTCAGTATTTGTGTTTAGCGTATGAAGAATTTCATGGCTACTTTTAATAACATGGGAAAAGTCCTTGTAAAAGTACTACTGAACAGTTGTCATAGAGTGAATGATAACAGAAACAGTGGGCAAGCGACTGTTGCTTGGGAAATCCCAACACACAACAGAAGACCAGATGGGCAGCTGTGTGCACAGAACCCAGGACCAAGTGCTCTACTCTGAAGGGGAGTCCCATCTTCCTGCAGCCCCAACATCCACTGTAGCACCTACAAAAATGCCCAAAAGGTCAGTGTGACTTGGCTCTCCTTTATTTAATTTTCTTTAAACTTGTAAGTACATTTTTCAAAGAATTCCTGTCAACAGATTGATAGCCAAGATACTGCAAGTTTGGTACTATTGTCCTTCCAACCCAGCTTTATACTGAATTGGAAAAACAAAGAAAACAAACTTGTAGTTTTGACTATAAACTGAAAATATAATGTAATTAACAGAAATATTTTTGCTTTGCTCTTGAGAAACATCTGTACATCAAAATCAGTAATCATTTTAACTATATAGAAATGCTTTCAAATTTTTCACAACAGAGATAAATTATTTCATATTATTAACATGTATTTGATTAGGGGAACCAGCAGTTGGTGTAATGGCTATGTCACTGGACTCCCATGTAGTCGCACGCGGTTTGAGTCCTGAACCCGGTGGCTTAAACTCATGCCAGGTGCGTGTGCATGCGTGCCCAAGATCCCAAGAGGAGAATGGAGGAGAGGGGATTGCGGCGTGGCCATACCCCCTACGGGATGATTTCTCCCTTTCTGTCTCTCTGTCTCTATCTGTCTTTCTGGTGAGCACATATGCCCTATAGCAAAAACCTCTCAAAAAAAAAAAGTATAAGATTAGGTCTAACAAATGAAAATGTTCCTTCTCATGAAATTATGTATTTTAAAAAAAATTTCAGTTCTTAAAATATTTTCTGGACACCAAACAAGTGCTAGGTACTCTGCTAGGCCAGGGGTGAAAGAGCTGGGGATAACCATCGTAGCTCTTGCTATTAAGCGCTTCCTAAGACTAATGGAGGAGACAAAGTCAATAGCAGCAATAGAAAATAATGTATTCCATCTTGCAAGTGCACATTGTGCAAAGTGAAGAGATAGCACGTCCTTCATCCTGTGATGGAGACAGTGATAGTACAGAAAATGAAGGTTTCTGAAAATCAGGAGAAGTCCACCAAGAACATAAAGGGTTCAAGTATCATGGAGTCAAACTTCCTAATGAAGCCCCTAAAGGTGACAATTCAGTTCCTCTGCTTGTTAATGCTAAAAATAGCTTCTAAACCCAAAGTTTCCTTTCAAGGAGCTGTCAAAGTTATGACTGAGCTCTGTTGTTCTTGTGGCTTTCTTAAAAACTATTCTAGTTGGGGGAGGGGGGTAAAAATCAAGGCGAACCTTCGTTTACAGCCAGCCAGGATCACAGGCATGGGTACCTATTCCCAGCATGTACAAGACAACCTTGGGACATGAACCTAGGACCTTCTGATGTGGCCTCAGCACCACAGAGCACTGTGTTACCACTACACCAGTGCAGGTGACCTCATAGAAAACTTCAACCTACTGTTTTTAAGGAAGCAAGGCTCATCTTCCTGCCTCCAACCTGGCCTCTTTCCAACCTGCTTTTGAAATAATTTCTCCAAATGCAAATCTGATCATATAATCCCCACTGCCTTTTGGATAACAACTAGAGTCCTTCATAAGTCCTCTGAGGTCCAGCATGTTCTGACTCTGGCCCTTTCCTTTAGCCTCATCTTCCACCACTTCTTCCTTCCATGGTTCTTCAATTATGTCAAGCTTTCTTCAGAGCCTCAGCACGCACTATACACTCCACTTAGGACACACTCTCCTTCAACTACTAACTCAATAGGCTTCACAAAATGCCATTACTCTGTTGAAGGTGAGATGGGTCCTTTTCTTTCCACTACATGTGCTCTACCATTAATCTTCATTGACTTACCTGATTAATATCTACACTAAACTCTAAGCCCCAAAAGGATAGGAGCATGTCTCTGTCACTCACTGGCCCATCTTCATCCCCCACACTCCAGCAGTTTCTATATTCTTAGGTAGGTTGGCTAAGTAGCTACCACAAATAAAACTTAAAATGTCTCAGCATTTTGCAGAACAAAAAGACATTTTTTTTTATTTTCCATATGACCGGTCAGAGTGGGGTGTCCAGGTCTATAGCTGTCTTACTCCAGATGCAGCCATGTGGGGACCCAGGATGATGGAGGTCTTACTGTCCAATGTGTGGCTTACAAGTTTTCCTGATAAGTAAAGAGCATGAAGGAGCTTATATAGAAAATATTCATTTATCTTCTGCTCCTTTTCCATTGGAGGGAATTTAGTCACATGGCCACATCTCTGCAAAGAAGACTGGGATATGTGAGCTAGCTGATGAGGTGCTTCTTTAGTATGTGACAAGAGAAGAAAGGATTTGGTAGACAGATGGCTGTTCCACTAGAATTCTTGGTGAATATTTATTGAAAACAAATAATTTTTAAGTCATTGTATTACTTTAGATATTGACTTCAGTTCCCAAACTCCCATAATTACGTATTTTTTTTTAAATTTTGTTGGCAGCATTTCAATATCGAAACAACTGGCTTCAATAAAAGATAAGGCATGGAATGAATAAGATGGATGTGTTTCTCCTTCACCATGATAGCCTGCCAAGAGTTAAAAATAAAAGGACAGCAAAGAACACAAGAGATATGAAGGAACACAAGGCTATGTTATCAAGCATGTATGATGTTTCTTTTTGAAGATTTGCGAACTGATTACAGTGATAGGAATCAGCTTGCCTATACTTAGCCCATTAAAAGCAGAGCTAAAAAAGCAGAGCTAAGGTGAAGCATGGATCTCCGAGTCCTAATTCAGTGTTCTTACCACCAAGTCCCATTGCCTCTCCATGGATGGCATCTTCAGGATGCCCAGAGAAGGATCATGAATATCTGACTCAATGAATGTACTGTGGAACTTGGGATGTAATTATTCGCCAACTACCTCTGTTCCTTGGGTGAAAACACAGTGTGACCAACTCCCAATATTTGCCTAGAAATTCACTGTATAAGTAAAATATCTTCAGAACAACATCCATGGAAATAATAATACAAGAAAATACACACACACACACACACACACACACACAAATATACTTGGACCATTATCTTGTTCCAAAACTGTGGCTTAACATGTTTACAGAGTAACAAGCACTGCTGGACAATACCACATTGTAGTGTTTTTCCTTCTGATTGTCTGTTTAATCTCTCCAGGAAAGGTTCTTCATATTTTTGTTTAAATAAATCTCCATCTAGATGAAGCTGTTATTTTTACATTATCACAACACAACAGACATACAATTTCTGTTTCAAACTTTATACAAATTCAAGTACTTTTGATAATTATTCACATTTCTAACATAATTTCTCCCTCTGGGACATATAGAGAGGAGATTGTACCTCTATCACTCCCATACCCACCCTTCCTCTCCCTGTCACATACATAATTTCTAGTACCAGATTCCTTCGATTGGACCACTGAGCCAGATTTATTCCCACACCTTAAGAACCCACAGGCTAAACATGGTTCATCTTCCAATAATGCATTTTATTTAATGAAAAGTAATTTTCAGTGTGTTACTCATTGAAATTAGATGGGACCAGCCCCATGGCATAGTGATTAAGGGAGTTATATCTCACATGACCAGCCATGCAATTTGAATTTCGGCCCTGGCAGTCTGAAACACATGCCAGGCACATGTGCATGCATGTCCAAGCTCCCATCAGGATGGAGAAATGGAAGAGAAGGGGTTGTGGTGTGGGGGCCCGGGATAATGGAGGCCCTACTGTCTTCAACATGCGACTTCAACTATGCCCCATTGAGGGGTGCTTTATCCCTTCTCTGGCAAGCACATGTACGCTCTGGCAAATGGAAGGAAAGAAAGAAGGGAAGGAGGGAGGGAAGGGAAAGAAGATGGGGTGAGGGATACGGACAGAGAGAAAGAAGGAGAGAAAGAGTAAAGAAGGAATTGAGGGAAGTAAGGAGAGAAAAGGGAGGAAGGGAGGAGAGAGAGAGAGATCACGGAATAGAAGCCAACACAAATCCTCATTTTCTCTGCTGGCTACTTGGATGTATGTCCTTGATCACACAGGGAGCAGAGATAGGAGGTGAGTACGTATTTGCCTCTAACACCCAGAATACTTGGAAAAGACTGAGAAGTACTAGAGTACTGAGAAAAACTGTTGGCATAGAGAATAGAAAAATAAGAAACTAGTTTTTAGTTTGACCATATGGTATATATTTGAGCTTGGGTACAAATTCTGTACAGACCATCTACATTTGCAAAAATAGCTGATATTAGGAAAAGTTACAAAATGATGGATCAGCCAGTGGCATGGTGGTTAAGGTGGCTGGATCCCATATAGCTGAATGAGTAGTTCAAGTCCCAGACCTGGCAGCTTGAAAAATATGTTGGGTGTATGTGCCAAAAATCCCAAGAGGAGAATGGAGAAGGAATTATATGTTGTCATACACTGTTGAGGTGATTTCTCACCTCTCCCTCTCTGTCTCTGTGTGTCTGTCTCTCTCTAGTGAATAAATATGCCCAATAGCAAAAATTAAAAGAAAAAAAAAGAAAGAAAAAATGAGGGGTGATTCTAACACCTTTCTAAATTGAGAATGTTTTCATGACATTAAAGTGTTAGAGACTCACAAATCTGCTGTCTAATGTTTAGTGTTCCATGTTCCAGGGCAGATGAGGAAGAACAGGCAGAGAACAATTCTGAAGTCCCAGTCACTTTGTTAACACACATATATTAAGGCCCACACATGCCATAGTCTATAAATTAATGCAAAGATATTAGGTTGCCTGGAAAGTTATGATGTGGTTTTTTTTTTTAATGCAAAAATGCATCATGACTTTCCTGACTACCCAATAATTAAGATGTAGAAACTGCTCTCAGGGACATACAGTCCAATGTCATGTTCAATATGGTGGCCACTAGCCACATATACTACTAAGCACCTGAACCTGGTTAGCTTGAATTGAGACTAAAGAGACTTGGGGGACCAGTAGTTAGCGTAATGGCTATGTCCCTGAACTCCCATGTAGCCGACCACAGTTCAAGTCCCAGACCCAGTGGCTTAAACTCATGCCGGGCGCATGTGCGTACATACCCAAGATCCCAAGAGGAGAATGGAAGAGAAAGGATTGTGGTGTGGCCAATCTCCCGGGGGGGTGATTTCTCGCTTTCTATCTCTCTGTCTCTCTGTGTCTTTCTGGTGAGCACACGCGCCCTACAGCAAAAAACTCTCAAAAAAAAAAAAAAAAGAGAGATTTGGGAGATTTGGGATGGCCCCATAGCCTAGTGGTTAAAAAGGCTGGATCCCACATGGTCAATTGCAGCTCTAATCCCAACCAATCAGCTTGAAAACCATATCAGGCACATGTGCATGTGTGCCCAAAATCTTTACAGGATGGAGAAGTAAAGGAGAAGGGGTTGTAGCATGACTATACTCCATGAGAGGCTCTCTCTATATATTTCTCTCATGCACACACACGTGTGCAAGTGCACACACCCTCTGGCAATTGAAAAAATGTATATATTTAAGAGACTTAAGAGAACATAGCAACATTTATATTGATTACTTGTTAAAACAATAATATTTTGGGGTCAGTTAGTGGTGTGGCAGTTAAGGTGGCTGGATCCCACATGTCCAACTATGCAGTTCAAGTCCCAAATGTGGTGACTTAAAAAACAAGCCATGTGTGCATCATATGATACACACTAAGATACTTCACTGCCTTTCAGACATATACAAAGGCAGTATGTATCATAGTAAGGAGCCAGACTGGTTATGTGAACTTTAACCTATTTAATCTCCCTGTGCCTTGGTTTTCTCATCTGTCAAGTAGGGATGATACTAGGACCTACCTCACAGAGCTGACATAGAATTAAATGAGTTGAATTGTGTACATCTATCCCATGGAGGAGTAGCTGCCCTACAGAATTTGAGTTCCTTAATCATCCATTATTATTGTCCACCAGAACGCCAGCTCAAAGAAGTCAGGGATCAAGATGTCATTCACTGCTCCACACCCAAATTAAGACAGGACCTGGCAATAAGTACATGCTGATAAATTCCTGTT